ATATAATTAAGCGATCATTGCATAGTAATAGCAGCTTATACGATTTAGTTAAGGCTTTGGATTCTAGACTAGAGAAGAAAGCTGAATAGAACCATTTTTTTGAATATCAAACTTTATCTTCTTGTATTGAAATTGTCTTCATTGCAAGTGAAATATTTCCCACTGTTGACAAAAAGATGTTGGAATACTTGATGCTACATATTCTTTCTGTGGAATGTATTAAAATGGCTCAATGTTTGTATTTTAATGCAATAATGGCTGATCTGGGGATAATTGACTTAGAGGTTAGCAACTGCCTAAAGTGATTATGTAATTATAAAATACTTTTGGCAGATTCTTTTTTTTTTTTTTTTTTTGTGGAACGCATGAATCTACGACTCTGTTAATCAACTCTGTGGCTCAAATTTAATATTTTAAGAGATAAATCGTATTAAGAGTTGATTAACATTGCTATGTTTTATATGTTTTTTTTGTCTCTAGACACTTTTTACATGTTCGTCACAGCTACATTTTAACTATAAAATTTTAATTGTTTGTATTTAATAATTCCCTTATTTTATATGTTTCATTTACTAATTACTAGTTAACATATTACATTATATTGTTAGGATGAGGATAACGAGAATATAAATGACAAATTTATAGAAGATGTTTATGACGCAAGGCAAATTTTGCTTAAATCAATGGTTATAGAAGCTAATAGAGACAATATTCAAGAAATTTGGGAGATCATAGACAAACGCCCAGGAAATAATCAGCGAAAGCATTTTGTTATTATTATAAATCTCGTCTTTTACTTATACACATGCATGTCTAATATATCTCGTGGTGTCATCTGTCGTCACTATTTTCAAGTAATGCTAATATCACAAATTGCTGGGTTTCACATTAAAATGATAGCACAACGTTGGTATTGTAATAACAAAAAAGGAGAAATTGATCAATTAGATGTGATCTTTGCAAACATAAACACAGCTCAAGTTCAACAAAATCAAATTACGCAAATTGTTCCTAAGCCACTCATTATGCCACATTCAGTATCAACAAGTAATCGATGCGCAGCAATTCGACGTTCCAAATATGGTGAATTATGGGGTCTCGCACGACAAGCAACACAGCTTGCAGTTGAAACTGATGATGATGAAATGAAACAATGGCTAAGAGCATTTATTGATCGGAAAAAATGCTCTGCAACAAACAATAATAATGAAATGTCTATTGACAAAGAAAATAATTTAGAAATCACAAATCTACCAGTCACTAAACATAAAGGTAGATCTGAGACTAAGTGGTACAAGTCTGCAGTAGAAAAAGCACATCGACAACCATATGCTTGTCGTGCATGTAGTCAGGTCGGTTACAATAGTGCGAGATGTGGAAAAAAAAAGAATTAATTCAGTTCTATAGTATAATGTATATGTATGCTAAAGGCAGGATATATTCGAAATAAGAATTGCTATCCAAATTAGAATTGTAATATTAACAGTCAAACCAATTGAATTCATAAGAATTTATTTTAAGTTACTGCTAATTACTAAATCAGTTTACTGGTTTTTACTGTACGTGTTTTTTTTTATAATTGCTAATAAGCACTTCGTTGACTTCATTTTAATCGTAATACTCTGGAGTATTACTATTAA